CGTTTGCGTTCTCGTGATGTTTAGTCAATTTATTTTGTGAAATGTTATAAGACAAACTTTTGTTTTTCTAATAAATCTCGAGGAACAATCTGTTACTATAAACCTTGTTTGCTAGTGTGTGAGCATTGAGTATGTAATGTAATAAAAAAGTTTTTTGTGATAAGGTTTGGAATTACCTGTTGTATTAAAAGTTTAGATATGGCAAAAGCAATGCTTTAAGTTCTAGAAAGTGCCGACTAGATGATTTGTCCTGTACCTCTTAATCCATTTTTCGAACTAATTTTTCTCATTAATCAGCAGAGGCAGCAAGTAGCGCGTTGTTTATTCGTACCGCCAGGACCGTGGCGCTGATGTGTAGTCCGAAAAGCAAACTGTAACAATGAAACATTGTCAGGCATCCGAGGTCAGCTTAAAAGCTGCTTTCCTAACAAAGCTGTGTGTTACTTGGATTCAATACTATAGAAATTTCTTCTCTTGCGTCCTCCTGTGTTTTGAAAGCTCTTCCCCAAAGCTCTAACGAAATCATCCATTTGTTGCGGACTGTCTATTCCTGTGAGATCTCAAACTAAATTAAACGTTTTTAACTTTAGGACGCAAGGTACAGTTTTTTTACGCTCTAATTTTTTAAGAAGAGACGAGAAAAAAATGGAAATCGAAAAAAGCGTCTACTTCCCCTCATAGCATCGGAATTCCTCTCAGTTATCTGGATTACATTGATACGTAATTTGTTATTCCATCCAATTCTATTGCCGAATGATGCGTTGCACTCTTTAATAGACGTGGGTATATGCATATTGTATTAGATTGTATTGGTGTGGTGTATTTTCACTTGTTCATTCTGTGGGAATATTAAATTGGTGGCATTGTAAAACCTTGGGAAATGAATTTGACTTTAAACCCTTTTCAAAAAAGAATTGTTTAGACAAGCATAGGTCGTACCAGGACCGTAGCTATCTAACATTCATAAATCGGCTAGTTTATATTTGCGAATTTTTCGGGTTGTCTTCTTTATTCAATTTCTGCAAGAAGAAAACAGTCAAAGCATGGGGGGCGTCGCGCTTTGTACAATTAAAGGCATGTCTCCGTACTCAAATTGGCCGATTTAGAGCCATTGCACAACACACGCGCGGATTTATCATAGAGCTGTCAGAAGATGGAACAATAGCCACATAGAATTGTTTGAAGATGCCCTCAACAGTCTTCTTTCAAATTTAGAAGTCCTCGAAATTTTAGTTTGTTCCGATTGAGATGGTAGGTACATGCCTGCCACTATGCGACCTGATTTGCTTACACCTGATTGGTGTACAGAATATACCGATATATTTTTCCTAAAATTATTCAGCCACATGGATGTTGTTCTATTCAACGAATCTTTTATATGCGATTTATCTGAAGTGAGGATGCATGTTATACTTCGAAAAGCTGAAAGGAAGTAAGGATGCGTTGCGTACGCATCGCTGCGCTATGCGGCGCGGATGCGCTGAGCAAGCGAATTAATCAAAAAGCCCATCAAAAAAAACTCTAATATATTTAAATGCTTTCAGAAAATAATTAAGCCTCCTTTTTTTCTGACTACGAGATCTAGGAACTTATAG